AATAAAATAACATATAAAAAATACGGTTCCTTTTCAAGGTTGGAAGAAAGTAAAGGGCTATAATATGATGTGGAATCCTCAATTAGATCTTGGAACACAAAGCTGGGCGCCAGTGACTCACACCTATAATCCTAGTTACTCAGGAGGCAGAGATCTGAGGATCGAAGTTCAAAGCTAGCTCTGGCAAGAACATCCATGAGACTCTTATCTCCAGTTAACTACCAAAAAACCAGAAGTGGTGGTGTCTCAAGTGGTAGAGCACTAGTCTTGAGCTGAAGAGCTTAGGGACAGTGCCCAGGCCCAGTTCAAGCCCCACAACTGACAAAAAAAAAAACAAACCTTAGAACCCAAAATGAGTATCAATGAATGAGTTGATGACATTTGAATAAAGCCTATATATTTTAGTTTATAAAAGTATACCAATTTTGCTTCCCTGTCATGACTGTGCTTATGTAATATTCATTTAATGTTAGGTGAATGTAGGTGAAAAGTATAGCAATTCTTGTACTTTTCTGTAAACCTAAAATTTGTGTGTGTGTGTGTGTTTGTGTTTGTGTTTATGCACGCGCCTGTGTGTGTGTGTTTGTGTTTGTGTTTATGCACGCGCCTGTCCTACGGCTTGAGCTCAGAGCCTGGGCATTGTACCTGAGGTTTTTTTGTTCAAAGCTAGTGTTCTACTTCTGGCTTTTTGATGGCTTATTGGAGATTAAGAGTCTCATGGACTTTCCTGCCTGGTCTTGCTTCAAACTACAATTTTCAGATCTTAGCCTCCTGAAATAGTTAGGATTATAAGTGTGAGGTACTGGGGGCCCTAAACCTAAAATTATTTAAAAGTAAAAAAATGAGGGGCTGGGAATGTAGCTTAATGGTAGAGCGCTTGCCTAGCATACATGAAGCCCCAGGTTCAATTCCTCAGTACCACATAAACAGAAAAAGCTGGAAGTGGTGCTATGGTTCAAGTGATAGAATGCTAGCCTTGAGCACAAAAATCTCAGGAACAGCACCTAGGCCCAGAGTTCAAGCCTCTAGGACTAGAAGAAAAAAAAATATGTACATGATATAGTTATAAATGTGCTTATGACATTTTGAATCTTTTATCACTGTTTAAACCTAAACCAAACCAATATGATAAAAAAAAGAATTTACTTGAACATTTAATGTAAAATCTTTTCAATACAATGCTTTTACTTAATGATTATTTTAACTTAAGCAAAAGTTTTAACTCTTTTGCTTTGGAAATCATGACAAAAACCCCAAGTATGTTCATTTTTCTGAAATGTGAAGCCCAAGCCAATCCATAGCTGTTTCAAGAGAGCACTAAAGAGATCATATGTCCAATCTACCAATTAAATGAGATGTATAACCTTATATTTTGTTTTCTAAAGTAAATTATGCTATAATTGAGAACAAGAAGCTCAGTCAAAATGTATAAGTAGTGCTGCCAGCTACTTATGATAGTATATTTTTCTTATTTTACTTCTTCAGGATCTAATGTCAACTCTAAATCTGTATTTCAGGTAATTCATAGCTCTGACTTGGTGAAGGGCCACTGTGTGGCTTAAAGCAGAGGTTAATTATTCTTCCTGCTGGTTCTACTGTTTGTTGATTTAGCTGCTCACTAAAACAGCCTTGCCTAGTCCAACCAGGTCCTTTTTCAAAATTTCTAATGTAATGCCAAGACCAAAAGAGGTCAAAGAAACAAAACAGATTTTCCAGAGAATCCAGGCTACACATTAGTATTCCTCAAGTTCCTACCTCTGAATAAAAAGAAATACTACAAAATAAAAAAATTTAAATTGAGTTGGTAATGAGTAAAAACCTCTATTTCCCTTAAGAAACACATTTCCTAAAAACTTGTGTGTTACATGAAACTGGTAGCTCCCTTAGTATGGTAAATGCAGGGTGGGGGAATGGATAAATGGATGTCTCAACTACACACAATTTTGTTTACTCAAGTAGCAATATTATTAGATTAAAGATGAGACAAGGGTATCCAGCACTAACAGCTTTTATCATTATTCTAGATAAGAGACAACTCTAGGAAGAAGGAATTAAAGTTATCTCCTTTTCTGGCAGTACTGGGGATTGAACTCAGAGCCTTGTGCTTAGTAGGCAGGTACTCTATCCCTTGTGCCACACTTCCTGAACCTTTTTGCCTTGGCTATTTTAAAGATAAGATCTTGCTTTATGCTTGGGCTAACCTGGCTATAATCCTCTGACATTTCCCTGTGTCACTGGGGATGCCCAGCCATTGATTGAGATGGAATCTCATGAACTATACCTGAGTTAACTTTGAACTTCAATCTGCCTCTCAAGATCCTAGCTAAGATTACAGGCTTGAGCCACTGCACCTGGCTAAAATGTAAAACAGTTACCTAGCAAGTATCAGGCTCTGAGTTCAATCCAAAGGAATGGAAAGGGAAAGGGAAAAATTACCTCTCTAAGCAAATGCTAATCCAAGAAAGATAGTTATAGAATATTTATGAGATCTTTAGTAATCCTTGTGGCAATTTTTCTTCACTAGATCTATCAAGAAAAGGCTAGGATTTTCAACCAAGTCTCATTTTCATTTTTCTGTTTCAACTGGAATTAGCTTCTCCTATACACACTCTGTCTCAGAAAAAGACAAACCTTGTCAGGGCTTTTTTTTAATGTGTCTTTATGAGATTTATAGATTTAAGAAGAATTGACATCTTTGTAATATTTAGTGTTCACAACCAAGAAGATGATATGTCTAGATTTTCATATCTTCTCTCATCTCTCATATTTTCTTATTTTTGCATATTGATTAGTCAATATTCTTTCTTGTTGTTTTTCCAGTAGAATTCTTTTTTTTTTTCTGTTGTCTGCAAATAATGCTCATTTTAGTTCCTTTTTTTGGAATCAGGTTGCTTTTTCTGAAGAGTTAGAAAAGATACAAGCACGTATCAGATAATCTTATTAGCTAGATATAGATTATTTAAAAATTATACTGGTTTGTTTTCATTATCCCTTTCTGTATTAATCTCAGTAATTGAGTAGATTAATAGTAAATACCAAAAATAAACACAGTTTATACTGGCAACTAGCAGCACTTACCAAAGTTTTAAGCATTAACATTTTTTCTGTGCTTTGTATCTATATAAGAACTAAGAGCTGGCAAACCATTAACAAAGAATAAAATCCACCTGTAAAGTAAGGCTCACTGGCTACCCAACAAACTTGAGATGTTAAAAGTAAACATCACAGGTAATAGAGAGTATTGAGTAGCATATGCATTGCTCTGCTGTTGTTTTGATTTCTTTTCTTTTTTTTTTTTGGTCCAGTCGTGGGGCCTGAACTCTGGGCCTGGGCGCTGTCCCTCAGCTCTTCAGCTCAAGGCTAACGCTCTACCACTTGAGCCATGGCGCCACTTCCAGCTTTTTTCTTTTTGCTTATGTGGTGCTGAGGAATTGAACCCAGGGCCTCATGCATGCAAGGCAGGTGCTCTACCACTGAGCCACCTTCCCAGCCCCTTGATTTCTTTTGTTGTAAGAAAACATGTTGTTTTGTTGAAGAACAAAATTCAGCTTTTTTCAAAAATAAAGCAGGATTCTCTTATAACCCTAGACTATCTCATGTTGAAATGGACACTGCTGTTTGCTCCTGTTACCTTTCACTGCCTTTGTGTGATTTTGAGTGTATTTTTCTTCTTCTTCTTCCTTCTTCTTCTACTTCCTTCTTCCTTCTTCTTCTTCCTTCTTCTTCTTCTTCTTCTTCCTTCTTCTTCTTCTTCTTTTGGTGAGTCATGGGACCTGAACTCTGGGCCTGGGCGCTGTCTCTTAGCTCTTCAGCTCAAGGCTAGTACTCTACCACTTGAGCCACAGTGACACTTCCGGCTTTTTCTGCTTATGTGGTCCTGAGGAATCAAACCCAGGGCCTCATGCATACAAGGCAAGCACTCTACCACTGAGCCACCTTCCCAGCCCCATATTTTTCTTCTTTACAATTTGTCTTCCATTACATCTTCCTTCAGCATTACTCTGTGTGTATGTGTGTGTGTGTGTGTGTGTGTTTCCATTTCTTGGTGGTATACACCTCTAATCCCAGCACCCAGGAAGCTGAGGCAGAATGATTTCAAATTCAAGGCCAGTCTGGGCTACAGAGAGAGTTTCAGTAATAAGATCCTATCTCCTAACAAGAAAAAAAGAAAAAGGAAAGAAGCCTGTGTTCATTCAGTTGCAAAAAAACTGTGAACCAAATAGAAGCTAATAGTTAAATACTAATAAACAGATTGTAAAAATTATATTCATTTCCCCATGTGCCTGAGATAGGAGGTCAAATTTGAATCCCTACTGTCATCAAAATGAAGTCTCACTGAGATCTAATGGGATTTACATAGAAATTGAAAAAAACTTTATAAAACTGATACAGAGATTAATTACTCGGATTATATCAGAGTAAAAGTAGAACACAAAAATGGGGATAATACCAATAATCCCAGCACTTGGGGAGGAAAGGCAGGATTGTGACTTTGAAGCCAGTCTGAGCTACATAGCAAGATACTTAAAAAAAAATTAACTACAAATTTTATCTACAAAATATCATAGGGGAATTTTAATTACTATGTTAAAACTATCAATTTGGAGAGATTATTTTTTCTATATTGAGTTTTCACATCCATGAACATAATCTGCATCTACATTCATTTAAATCTTACTTGATTCCCTTAGTCAGGATTTTATACTTTTCAGCATAAAAGACCTATATGTGTCTTAATAAGTTTATTTCATATATTTCTTTTTTACAACTGTATATATTTTAATTTCATTATTCATGTTCATTATTAACTTTGGATGTTTGTTTTTAAATTCTGAAACTTTGCTAAACTCACTTATTCTAGAAGTTTTTTGTGTTTTTTTTTAAAGATTCTTGGTGTTTTTGTTTTATGTAGACAATGATATCGGCAAATGAGGCAGTTTAATTTCTTCCTTTCTGATATGTATGACTTTTATTCCTTTTCTACCTATTGCACTGACTAGAACTCCCAGAACTATGTTGAATAAGAGTGGTGAAAGCAGATATCCTGCCATGTTCCCGATCTTAGGGGGGTAAGTATTCAGTCTTTCACCATTAAGAGTAATGTTAGCTGTCCAGCTTTTGTTGTCATTGTTTAGTTGGATTTTATTTGTTGTCTTTTGTTGATGCTTCTTATCAAATCAAATTCTTTTCTATTCCAGGCTGCCCTGGAACTTGAGATCATCTTGCTCTAGCTTCCCAAATGCCAAGATTACAGGCCGGGGATACCATGCCCAACTTCTGGGAATTTTTAATTATAAGTCAGTATTGAATTTGCCAGATGCTTTTTATGCATCAGTTGATATGACCATGTGATTTTTCCTCTATCACTGTTTAGTATGATAGATTACATGTTTAAATTAAACCAGGCTTGCATTCCTGGAATCATCCCTGCTGCATCAGAAAACACCCAAGCCTATAGCTTTCTTCTAATGGATTCAATTTCTCTAATAGTTGTAGTTATTCAAATTATCTTTTATATTGGATAAGTTGTAGTGGTTTGTGTTTCTTAGAAAGTGTTCTGCTTTATGTGATTAAGTTTATATCTGTATGCATATTTATATTCCTGTGTACCTATATATCCTTTTTTTGTTGTTGTTGGTCGTGGGGCTTGAACTCTAGGCCTGGGCCCTGTCCTTCAGCTCTTCAGCTCAAGGCAAGCGCTCTACTGCTCAGCCACAGCGCCCTTCATTTTTTCTAGTAATTTATTGGAGACAAGAGTCTCACGGACTTTCCTGCCTGAGCTGGCTTTCAACTGTGATCCTCAGATCTCAGCCTCCTGAGTAGGTAGGATGACAGGCGTGAGCCACCAGTGCCCGGCTTCATATATATCCTTTTGATGTCTGTAGAGTCTATGATGATAGTATGTACAGAACCTTTGATAATTTATATCTTCTCTTTCATTTTCTTGATTTCTTTTGTTCATATTTATCATTGTTTATTTGTTGGTTTGTTTTAATTGCACTGTGGAGATTGAATCCAGGGACTTCATGCATGCTAGAAAAGCACTCTACCGCTGAGCTATACCCCTAGCTGCTCTTTTGTTTTTTCTTTGTCATTCTTCCTAGTGATTTTTCAGTGTTATTGATCTTTTCAAACCATAACTCAGTCATTTTATCTCATTGATTTTTCTCTATTGTTTTCATATTTTCAGTTTTACTGGTTTCTGCTTTTTCTTATTCTTTATTATTTACTGCTTGGCCTGCATCTATTTTTTTTTTAGGTTCTTGATGTAAGATTGAATTGAGACTTTTAGTGCTCTGAATTTCCCTTTTAGCACTGCTTTAACCTGTTTCCCACAAATTATGATACATTCTATTTTCATTTCTAATCACTTTTGTGTTTGTTGTTTTGTTTTACCTTGAGACTTTGTAACCCATGTAAGTATGGGTTAAAAAGTATGTTGATTCATTTCCAGATATTTGGCCATTTTTTCTTATTAATTTTCTGTTACTGATTTCCAGTTTGATTTCATATGTGCAGTAACATAATCTACATGACTTCATTTTTTTAAGTTTGTTGAAAATGTATTTTATGGTTGAAGATACAGTTTTTCTTTGACACTTGAGGAGATGTGTATTCTGATATTACTAAGTGGAATATTACGTAAATTTTTATTTCCTGGAGCTGATTGTCTAATTTTTCTTTATCCTTGCTAGCTTTCTAGGTAGTTGTTTCATCAATTGTTGAGAGAGGTGTTTTGCTCCTTGTTTAATTTGTTTGTTTGTTGTTGTTGTCTTTGGGGTCAAGATCTCACTATATAGCACAAACTGGTCTTGAATTTGCAATCCCTTGTCTCTACCTCCTGATTGCTGTGATGCAGACATGTTCCCACCATACCTATCAAGAGAAGGTTCTTAAGTCTGCAGGTTTAATTGTGGATTTGTCTATCAGTCTATCAAGTTTTTACTTCACTTTGCAGCTCTTTTGCTTTGTGCATACAAATTTATGCTTTTATGCTTTGACCATTTTATTATTATGTAATATCCCTTATAAGTACAGGGATTTCAACTCAGGGCTTCATACTTATAAATAACAATAATAGGGGCTGGGAAGGTGGTTCAGTGGTAGAGCGCTTGCCTTGTATGCATGAGGCCCTGGGTTCAATTCCTCAGTACCACATAAAGCAAAAAGAAAAAAGCCGGAAGTGGCGCTGTGGCTCAAGTGGTAGAGCGCTAGCCTTGAGCTGAAGAGCTGAGGGACAGCGCCCAGGCCCAGAGTTCAGGCCCACAACTGGACCCCCCCAAAAAAGTAACAATAATAAATATAATAACTTCACAAATAACTCAGATTGTCTGTACATATTTCACTAATTGGTTCCAAGATTTTTTCCCCTTTGTCTTTGTTTTCCAGAGTTTTACTAGAATGTGCTTTAATATTGATTCCTTTGGTTTTGTTCTGTCTGGAATTTGCTCAGCTTTTTGAATTTATACATTTTTTTTCCTAGCCATTTCTTTGAGTGCTTTTTCAGCTCTTCCTTTTCTTTTCTCCTAGTAATCCAGTGGCATGAGTATTAAATTTCTCATGATAGTTTCACATGTCCAAGGATCTCTTTTTTCATTCAACCTGTTTTCTCTCTTTTGTTCTTATTGTTCCATTTCATTGATGCCTTCCTCCTTCCTCTCTATTCAACTATTGAGCTCGTCCACTAAGTTTCATTCAATTATGTTCTTAAATTCTATAATTTTCACTTTTTTTTTTTTTGTCAGTCGTGGGGGCTGAACTCTGGGCCTGGGCACTGCCCCTCAGCTCAAGGCTAGCACTCTACCACTTGAACCATAGCTCCATTTCCAGATTTTTCTGCTTATGTGTGAGGAATCGAACCCAGGGCCTCATGCATGCAAGGCAAGCACTCTGCCCCTGAGCCACCTTCCCAGCCCTGTTTTGTTTTTTTGTCTTCTACATGCTAAGACTTAATATTTTCACGTTTCAATTATGTTTATAATTGCTTTTGAAACATTTTTCTTATGGCTGCTTTAACAGCTTTGTCAGGTAACTGACCTTATCATTAATGTTGGCATCTATTGATTTTTCTTACTCAGTTTGTGATCTTTCTAGTTCTTGGTTTGATCAGTAAGTTTGGTTGAAACCTGGACATTTTGTGTACAACAGGACTTTAGATTATATTTAAACCTCTGTGTTAGCTAGTTTCTTTACACCAGTCTGACAGTAAAAAGAATGGAGGTATAATACTGTCTTTGCTTGATATGTTCTATTTAGACATCTTCCCTCCTAGACAAAATACATAGACTTACAAGATGTAGAAAATACAAATGAATAATAAGAACAGGAACATAGATGCTGCAGCTTATACATTACACAGGTAATTTAGAAACATAAAGGATATTTTAAATCTGAAAAGTACTTCAAAGAAGTGAGGCCAAGAATTAAGAGCTAAAGTTTAAGAAAGAAGAAAATATCACCAAACATGAAAATGTAAAATGAGGTCTGAGTACAGTGACCCATACTTGTCATCCCACCTGCTCTGAAGGTGGAGATCTGGAAGATAGTGGCTTGAGGCCAGTATGAGCAAAAGGTTAATAAGATCCCAATAGCTGGTGGCAGTGGTACACATCTGTCATCCCAGTTACTCACGAGGCCATACAGGATGGTGGCCTGGGGTTGGTCCCTGGCAAAGAGTACTGGGTCCTACCTGAGAAGTAACAAAAACAAAAAGGAGCTTAGGGAGGCTAAGAATGTGGCTTAGTGGGAGAGTGCTTGCCTACCATGCATCAAGCCCTGGGTTCAATTCCTCAGTACCACATACACAGAAAAAGCTGGTCTGTGGCGCAAGTGTTAGCCTTGAGAAAAAGAAGCTCAGAGACAGTGCTCAGGCTCTGATTGAAGCCCCAGGATTGGCAAAAAAAAAAAAGCTTGGGGAATGTGGCTTAAGTGATATAGTCCCTTCTTAGAAACATGAATCTTGAGTTCAAATCCCACTACTCTCCCTAAAAATGGAAAATGAATTGACAATTCTCAGAATATGCTTGAGGAAATATGCTTGTGTGTGTGTGTGTGTATGTGTGTGCTGCTACTGGGGCTTGAATTCAGGGCTTCATACTCTTGCCTGTTTATTTCCCTCAAGACTGGTACTCTGCTAGTTGAGCCATACCTCCACTTCTGGCCTTTTGGCAGTTATTTGGAGATAAGAGGCTCTTTATAGGCTGGCTTTGAACTTTGATCCTCAGATGTCAGCCTCCTGAGTAGCTAGAATTACAGGTGTGAGCCACCAGCACTCAACTTAGGAAATGAAATAAAAAAAGAAACGAAAAAGGGAACAGGAATGTTTAAACAACTCCAGGCATTGATCATCCTATATGTCTATTAGTTATGCATGTTTAACAACCAGCAAAGAAATAGGACCATAGATGCTTATGTTTTCCCCTGGCATTCTGGAATGAAAAGGTAAATATAATCAAAGAAGAGAGACCATGAAAGAAAGGAGGTTGTTATGTATTCACTTTGTTCGCATTACTTCCTGGCTTTGTATAGAAGCTTACCTGAAGGAATATTTGAGCTAGGACTTTTGTTCCTCTGGCTGAGGAGACTTGGCCCTATCGGTAGATGCTCTCATATGACTTCATGTATCAGACACAGTGGTACACACCTATAATCCCAACATTCAGGAGGATCAAGTATTTGAAACAAGTCTGGGCTACCTAGTGAGGTGGGGTTTTTGTTTTTGTTTTTGTGGGTCCTGGGGCTTGACCTCAAGGCCTGGTCTCTATCCGTGACCTTTTTGCTCAAGGCCTAGCACTACCACTTAAGCCACACTTCAACTTCTGGCTTTTTGGATACTTTAGTGTAGATAAGAATCTCACAGACTTTACTGCTCAGGCTGGCTCAAACTGTGATCCTCAGATCTCAGCCTCCTCAGTAGCTAGGATTATATACATGAATTATATAGTGAGATCTGTTTCCAGTGGCTCATGCCTGTAATTCTACCTACTCTGGAGCCTGAGATCTGAGGATTGCAGTTCAAAACCAACCCAGGCAGGAAATCTGTGAGACTCTTATCTCCAATAAACCACCA